TCAGCGACCTCAAAGAGGGATGCTGGGGCAGTGTAATCAGGGCTAGCGTCCTCAAAATCCACCAGCTCAGCAAAGTGGTCGCGAAAAGATGCCCTGAGTTCCAAAGCTGCGCCAGTTGCATGAGAGGGCGGCGAACATTCAGAAAGTGCATCCGTAGCCACCATGCTAGACGACAAAGCTGTAGCGTTATCACCACACAAAAGAAAAGCAGCCATCACTAGAACCAGATCCGAAGGCGAGCAACCGTCTCCGAAAGTGTCTCCCGAAGCAGAGTCACAAGCGACCTGATCTTAATGGCAAGCTTTTGCGTCGCCTCTTCCAAGGCGGTTGTCCTGTCAGCAAGATGAACAAGCCAGCCGCGCCCTTGTCCTAAGTCGTCCTCTAAGCGGTGAAGACGAGCGTGCAAGCGGGAAATCTCAGTCCGCTGGGCCGATGATTCGGCTTCCAAGTCGTACAGCCTGTCACAGAGGCCCTTGACGTCGTCTGTCAGGTTGGCTTCGACCAAGCGGATGTCGAATTGCCGCACCTCCCTGTTAAGGTCTTGCAGGACTGCACGAAGCTGAGGACTATAGGGCTCAGGCACGGAATCCATGCAAGTGGCTCAGGCTCACTCAAGCTAAACTAAAGCTGCTGAGAAGTGTCCTGACAGCTCAAAGCATGTGATCAGAAACAACAAAGCTGACATGAAAGCAAAGCAAGCTAAGGCTAAAGTTTTTGAAAGCGAGCTGCTGTTGCGTGGTGTATGCTTGAACCCAAGCGGGGCCGCGGGGAAGAACTGCCGAAACAACCCTGAGTGAACACAGGAACCGGTACAAGTATAGGTATAAGTATAGGTGTAGTCCTGGCTAACCAGGTACAGGTATAGGTATAGGCATAATTAGGTATAGGTATAAGTATAGGTATAGGTGTAGGTGTGTGTCTAGGTATAAGTGTATGTCTATGTATATTATATGTATATGTATAAAGGCTCAGAACACAGGCGACAGTGCCTGATTGCCGTAGCCCAGGCCCCCATGCCATGGCCCCACGGGGAACGGGGGGTCGCCCAGAAGCCAAAAGATCGAGGCGTGGCAGAGAGGTTTGCGGCTGGCTTCAAGAAGACGCTGGCTTTCCAGCCCCCATCATCAAGCAGAACAGAGGCTCGTCGGGCGATCATCATCAAACCGAAAGCTGGCAACAAGTGTAGGTCCTTCGGAGCGGGGTTATGCACAGACGAGGAGGTGCTGATCAGGAGCGGTTCACAACCATTGCTGCCGGGTATTCTTGTACATCGGCAGACTTGGGCAGCTGTTCGCCCATCTTGCCAACCACACGTACAGGGCAGGTCGTGAAAGGCAGATGAAGTGCATCTGCAGCTTGCCGGTGCTGGGCAATGCTCGCCTGACCCGTGGAATCTATATCTACGAAACCTCCACGCCCTTGATTTGCAAAAGACGCTGGACAACCTTCGCGGCGCTGTTGCACCTGGGTGAGGCTTGTGCTGTGGACGATCGCGCCTCTGGCAAGTTCACGCCCGTGGGGCAAGCCAAGATTGACGTTGGGCTGTGCGTTCAACCAGAACCTGGAGGTCATCCAATTGCTCAGCAGTCTGCAGAGATTGGCTATGCGTTCAACTGGAGCCCGGCTGGCATTTAAATATTTACCCAGCAGCTTGCAAAGTTGGACATTTGGTCACGCATTCAATGGGAGCCTGGAGGGCATACAAATACTCAGCAGTTTGCAAAGCTTGATGTCTGGCTTTGCGTTCGACAGAGCCTGGAGGGCATCCAATTACCCAGCAGACTGCTGAGTTTGACATTAGGTTAAACGTTCCCCGTCGAAAGCAGCCACCTTCAACCGCTGACAGCCTGAGTTTGTGATAGGCCCTTGGAAAGTTAGTCGCTCCAAGTGCCGACCGGCTAATCTTAGATGCTTCATTGAGCCCTTGAATCACAGAACCAAAATCGCTGCTGCTCGTGGGAAATGAAGTGGATGCAGAGAACCTGTTACCGCATCAGTGTGTATCCCATGGCCTTGTACATATCTGAGTTTCGATCCGTACAGTTTGTTACGTGTCGCATGGCCCGAAATAGCTGTCCACTAGCGATATCTGGGCTTCGGGAAGTTTGATTTTGCACCTGCGCTTTCTGCCTCGCCCTAGAAGTTAGGCCAGCTTTACCTTGCAGGCGCATCGCGATGCTTTTCCTTCATGGCTGGGTTTCTGTAATACCAGGAAAACCCACAAGCATTGCCGGCTTTTGAGGGGAGGCCTTAAAACCCCGAGGCGCCATGAGGGGCCCACCGCCTCTTTCAGGTGGGGACTTTTAACACGTTGAAATTCATCTTGCTAGGCGTGCGTCTTCTACAAGCTCCGTCGCTACGAATGAAATGAAAACGTATATGTATACTTAGATGTAGATGTAGATGTTTTCGTTTAGCCGAGGGCCTCCTATGTCAGGTCCCACCCAGAGGCCTCTCGTTCGAGACTGTTGTCGACACCCAAAATACACAAGTGACCCAAAAAGAACGCAAGTGACTCCCCTTCCCGTTTCTCACATTTCTCACGCTGTGAAAGCTGCTTGGCTTCCGAAAGTCAATTTGGAGTTTGGAGCACAGATAGTACAGGATGGGGCCGAGACATGCTCAAACCGGGGCCACGAACTACCAATGCAACCACTCTGCTCAGATTCGGCCCTGTCACAGGTTGGGTGAAGAAAACTAACAGCGGACCGAAGCTCGCCTTCCCCGCGCTCAGGTTCTGTTCTGCGCGGAACTCACGGCCTGGCGCGAACGTTTGAACGTGGCATTGTCAAACTCCACGTAAAGTCTGCCCACGCCTGCGTGGCCTTCTGTTCCCTTTTTGTGCTCGGCGGTCCTCCGCACCATAGGGCCCCAGCCGAGAGGCCCGGCACTGTTCTGGGAACGGCATCACCACAGTTGGGACCAAGTTAGATTCTGCTCAAGATTGCTCATGGGCTAATGGTTTCTCCCTGACACCCACGTCCTCGAGAGAGACGTCCAATTTCCTGCAGCAGGCGATCAGCAGAGTCGCGGCGGCATGAAGCGCGGCGTGAGTGCGTGGGTATCGGCCTGGACCTGCACGGTGTGGCAGCGGCAGCTCCCTCAGAAAAAAGAGGGAGAGAGAAGAGACGAGAAGAGAGAAGAGAGAAGAGCTGCCTTTCAGGAGCTGTGAATCTGGACGGCCCCGAGCTTGAAGCGCCAGGAAGAGAAGACACGGAGATGTATGGCATGAGCTCCGAGCACGGGGCGTGCGGGGAGCCGACGCGTTCGAGGTGACGTTCGACTCCTAAACGCCGCGGGGCAGGGCCGGGCCCGGGGGCCCCAAAGGGGGGGGGCGTCCTCCAGCGAGGCGACGGCGGTGGCCGCTCCGGGTCCTCCAAACTTCGCTTAACGGATCTCCATGCAGTCGCCTCAAGCCGCCGCGCCCCGGCCTTGACACTCGGAGGCGGAGGCCTGGGCCTCCTGGGCCTCCGTCACGTTGGAGCTCTGTTCGCCGGCTGCCGTGGCCGTGGCGTTGCTGAGGGTTGTCACGGCCGGGGACCCTCCGTCCTCTTCCATCTCCTTCCCAGGCAGAGTCCTACGTCCCCGGGACCAACTTGGCACATCAACGTGAGAATCGAGAATCGCGAGAACGACGGTTGCATCCGAATCCTGATCATGCTGCAAGAGCCGGCTCCCGCAAGGCAACGGCAACACGTTTCAAACAACTTTACAAACATTGTACTCTCGACTTGATTCGACCACTGTGTACGAGTACAGTCATGTGAGCTCCAAGCCAAGTGCAATCGTGATGAGTTGCGTGACTGTGGCACAACACCAGTCTTCAAGAAGCTCTGCAAGTTTTAGGCGTCTTATAATTCTAGATTCACGCATTCAGGCAGCTTTCATTGAAAGTTCTCATCACATCGTGCGATCATTTTGCCTTGCCGCCTTGCCTTTGCCTACTCTCTACTCTCCTTGCAAGCGGTTTCACTCCGATCAAGGGAACCTCCCTACCAAAAGCTCTGTCAAGAAGTCTTCTCGTCGAACCGAAAAGAGAGCATTTGGCACCGACCAATGATCACGAAGCAGAAACAATCCACGACAAAAGGTCTATGCATTCACATTCACGCAAGCGCCGCCATGTACTGCATTTGCCACAACTGTCACGGTCACGAGGGATGCTGACGCGGACGGGCTCAAACCGGGTTGGCCTGTGAGGTGCGACACGCTCCGCAAGTGAGGGGACACCAGCTCCGCACAAGTTCACCTGAGAGAAAGCCCCAAAACGTGACAGCGCTTGCAACAGCGATCTGAGGCCGGATCCATAGAAGTCGTCTTCCTTGGCACACAGCCACAAAGGCTCTTGATGGCTCTTGAAGGGCCTTCTTTTGCCACCATGCAGCGCACATGGCCTTCATTCTCTCGCAGGACGTACCATAGGCCGACCAGCGATCATCGCGATCCTGTGAAGAACCGCTTGGGCAAGGAAGCGCAAGCCTTTGCTGTCGCTCCGTCCTTGCACTCTGCGGCCGCGTTTCCCGCAAGAGCCACGGCTGCCAGCGCCGGTGCCAGTGCCAAGGAGGCTCTCCAGGAAACAGCAGCGCCTGAGAAACAAAGACTTGCCGAATACGGAATACGCCACATTCCGACGTTTTTCCGAGGTCAGGTCTCATCTTGGGCTCACATGCCTCTATCGCTGTTCTTGAGCCGCAGACCACGACCCACAACACTCTCGCCTCCTGGTCCCCATACTGAATCATACCATGACATGTGCTTGGATCGGAAATCGGCGGTATGTTCTTTACGACGCAGATGAGCTCAGGCTCTCAGGCTCTGCTTTGCGAGCTGCCAATGAAACTGGAGCGGTGCGGCGGAGCGGTGCTGGAGCGGCGGAGCGGCCGCGACTCCGCTCAAATTCAGTGAGACTTCAAATCCGGGCCTCCACGACGCCCAATTGTTGAAGCCTCTGCATGTCTCTTTCTCGAGTCTTGAACGTGCATTGAGAGGGCTCCCTGGTCTCACACGCGTCCGATCTGCTGGCGGAGGCGCATCAAGTCCTCACAACTGCACAATCTGTTAGCTCTGCGTTCACAGATTCCAACATCCCGGCCTTCACCGCAGAGCGGTTCTCGGGATCCAGGCGCACAGCTCCCTCCAAGGACCTCTCAGTCAGAACTCAGCGGGATTCCACTTTTCTGCTGGGCCGCATGCACAGCTGTCAGATGATGCTACTGTGACGGCGGTGCTACAAAAGAGTTACAAAAGCTTGGCCCAGGGTTGAGCTGACTGATGAACTCAAGTATGAGAAGGTTGCATGCGTGCATGCGCAGCCGCGGAAACACCTGCTACTGCATATGCGTTCGCTGGAACGGTTACGCAGCTCGGAGCCTGGAAGAAGTCATGAAATGCGGAAACTACATGTTGTACGAGTTACCCGGTCCGCAGTGTGAATACCAGGGCTGGGATGATTCACAGATATCTGGTTCGTGAAGGCGGGGGAGCTTGAGTGTGCCGGCGACCGTGGATCCAGTCTGCCTATAGCCAAGAGGGCAGCTCCCAGTGTCCTCAGGCCTCACAGCGCTCTCCAAGTCCCCCATCTCTGCCTGACACCTGCGGCGAGCCGCTGCGCCCTCAGTGCCCTGATCCCCGAAACTCTCCGAGCACCGCACTCGCCGAGCATGGCCAAGGCGCAGGGATCCTGACAAAATCGGCATTTGGAAAAAAAGAAACATCTGAATCAACCCCCCTCTGGCTCTCGCAGCTCCTCGGAATTGAGCTGCAAGAGCCTCCAGATACACTGTCTGGGATAGCATACAAGGACTCTGGCACTACAAATATGCATAGCACCGTTGAGAGGATTGCCGACAGCGACCACTTCAACCAGCCTGTTGAACTGCTCGGCTGCAACCGTGACTTGGCCTGTCATGTTGGCCAAAGGTGACGGCCGAACCCTCGGCCCTCCTGCACTCTCCCTCGTGCTTATGAACCAGCTTGATGTGCACAAGTGCTGCACAAGGCTGCTGTGCAGATTCTGGAGTTAAGGCTCCTCTATTCCTTGCAATCAGATGAACGCAGCTGAAAACATGCTCACGGTGAACACTGATTTGGTCCCCGAACACGTGTGCAGGGTGGTGAAGACATGGTACGGACTGCGAAGCTGCGAAGGGGAAGCGCTGGCTCGCGGCAGCACAATCTGCATCCGTCACCATGCCGGAACCATGCCAGGTTGTCCCAGCTCACGGTGCACCACGCCCAGGTTGAAGAGGGCACCCAGAAACCTTCAGTGCCGCTCGCCGCAGGTCCATCCCGAAACGCCCACCGAGGGCTCTGCTGAGGCTTCAAAGCCAAGGCTGCAGTGAAGGCCTCTACGGCTTGCTTCAGCTGCCTGAGACTGGCCAAAACGAACCATGTTAGACTATGTGGCAATGCAACTCCGCAGCAGCCTCTGCTGCTGCAGCACCACACCTTTGCGGTAGCAATACCTGCAGGGCACGTGTGCTGCACGCAGCTGCTCAGGGCACGTGGTGAGCGGCGGGCTGGGCATTCTGTGGGTCCAACGACACGGCCTGAAGTGCGGCAACGTGCAAGGAGTTGTGACGGCTGCGATCAGGTCCCGACTCGGGTGAAGAGGTACTCTGCACCAGCCAACTGGTCAGAAAAGATCGCTTCTGCAGGCCGGGAGCGCCCCCCCTTTTTCTGGTCCTGTCCGTGGGCCAGCAGGAACTGTCCGAAGTCGTCGCAGACGCAGGGATTGTTCTGGCCAGGCAGCCAGGCCATCGGTTCTGCGCCAAGGAGGCAAAGGAGGTGCCTCGTCCAACTCAAGGGCGTTGGAGTAGGCGACCAGCGCCTGCGACTGTGAAGCTCTGGCTCAAAGACACACAAGCATGGTTGCAAGCACATACAACACAGCTCAGGGCACCTGCTGCGCGTCTCCGGACACCGCGAACTTCTTGGCGGCCTTGCAGGCTTCCTCTGAGGAGGCGTACTTCGCCTCAGAGGCATGGCGAGCCTAAGCCCAAGCGAGAGGCTTCGGAACCCCGCGCGCGCCTCGAGGGTAACGCCCCGATCGGGTCCACAGAAGGGGCCCGGACCCGTCGGTAAGGGCCGAAGCGTCAGCGACTGGCAAGCAGCGACACGGCGACACGCATGAGCTGCACACAATCGCGGCTTAAACGCCGCAACCTCCAGGAGCGGCCCGTGGCCACGGGCACCTGCCCTCGCCTGGCAGCTGGCAGAAGGAAGCGGAGAAAAACACAGCAGCGGTGCCAGGTAGTGCCGAGACAGGCCTCGCCGTTCTTCACATTGCGGGCATCTTGGCGATTCATACACGCCTCCGTCGTATCAGATCATGCCCTCTGCTTTGTCACAAGAAACCGAAGATTCCAGAGCTCTGAGATGTCTGGCACTGCCCGGGCCCATGCAGCTGTTGCCTGGCACGAAGCAGCCTGCGGGCGCCCGTGCCCGGACGGCAGAATGAAAACAAGAAGGCACAAGCATGCACAAGTAAGAGCAGCGAAGAAAATGTGCAGAGCTGGACGACTTGAAGAGAGCCGTGTAGCAATCATAGCCCGGGCAAGCGTGAGTGTGAGAGTGAGAGTGAGGGTGAGAGCGGGAGTGAGCGAGGGAGAGAGAGGGAGAGGGAGAGGAACAGGGAGAGGGAGAGGGAATGCAAGAAACCAGGACGAAAAAAATTGACATCATCACGTGCAACTGCCACCTGTGGAAGTATAGCCGCCGATCTGGTGCCTGGGCGCGCCTGCCCAACAAGCTTCAATGACAAACGAGACAGCCCCTTCTGCTAGTGTGGGTTTCTAGCACCGCACAATCCCGAATTTGCATGTTCGCCTGGCTGCACCAAGCAACTGGTCTCCAAACCCATGGCCTGAAAAAGCTCAAGGGTACACGGCACACAACACGGCAGAGGCGGTGCTACTGGCGGCTTCCGAATACTTTGCTTTTCAGCTGCATAGACGTCTCTGACAAGGAGCAGACATGAACAACGAACACAACACACTCGTAAAGACCCTCGCGTGTCGCACACCAAAACCAGGTAACAGCTGCCAAACTCTTTTGCGAACCGGGATCAGCCTTCAAGATGCCTCTGCTGGCGAGCGTTTCAACATGCAACTAGTAACTAATCAGCACTGTTCAACATACACCAACAAGTGCGAAAACTTTTCTATCACATAATAGTTCGTGCTTCGATCTGCATTCTGCAAGCATTCTGACATGGCGCGGACTTGAAGCCAGACATCACCATCTCGATGTGAAGCCATCCCATGTGTTCAAGCATCTTACACGTCCGACAAAATGGCATAAGAACTGCGCCAGCGGTCTCATGGTCCGATGCTGTCGTCATGCCGTGCATGCTCTGCATTCTTCAACTACCCCCACATCAACATACCTCGCCTTCAAGGTGATTTCTTCTTTGGTTCCTGCTCAACCTAAACATATGAGGACATCGAAAAGTGGGATATCATGTCTTAACGCAAGGAAATAATGTTGCATCAGTTTTTCCCAGCTACGGGTTTTCCCACCTCATTTTCAAACTGGAATCATATGGACATAAAACGGTATCACCTTCGGTGAATCTCTTATTCTGTCTTTGATTCTTGCTCGCCCTAACATGTGAAGGCATTCGTTTGGTTCTTTGCTAGCGCATGTGCGCTGTGGTCGGGCGCAGTGCGGCGCTTGCCCTGAAAACAAGGTAGCAAGCTTTCGCTTTTTTCCAAGTATTGATGATGAGGGACCTAGAGGTGTGGTCTGACGTCCACATGATGATAAGAAGCTCTTGCTTAGTAATGGCGTCCAACCAGTAATGGTTTCCAACCAACAATTTCCTCTTCCTCTTCTTCGACCCTGGGTCATGATTCTATCCTTGTATGTGGCTGAAAACACAATGTCATGAATGGGATTAGTAGTTGGCGCAACGAACTCGCAGGAAAGTTGGGCTTTCCAGCTGTGTTCAAGTCTCACCGAAATGTCCATCATAACCACCACTGCATCCATGCGTTCCTGCAAACGTCAGGATGGATGGAATCAGTGTATTGCTTGATCAGCAACAATCACATGGCCGGCAGTGCGTGACGTTCAGAGGGGGCCACTCAAGCGAAGCCAAAATTGCTTAGATTATTCGACAGCACATTTGGAGCCGCGTGTGCTGCAGTTGGTCCGCACCCAAAGTGGGCGTCGGCGGCACCGGAAGCTGAACAGGCGTTCCAGACGCAGCAGCTGGAACACTTCCATCGCTTGCACTGAGGCACTTGCAGGTGCAATTGCCTTCATGGGCGCGTGTCTCTTTTGCACCTTGACTCCAGGTTCATTTTGCTGTCATCTTCCTTTGGCCTCACGAGGCTCGAGCGCGCGCAAGTGAAGGCTCGAAGGCTTTTGCTTTATGCACAACTCAAGAAGTCCTTTTCAGATCTGGTGAAGATATCTTCCTGGAAATTCCGCCGCTTGTACGATCCAGCTCCCACCGGTAACAGAAGTGCAGTTGCGGACTGTTCTTGTAAGGGAACAGTAACAGCCCTCTAACAACAGAAAATGCAACCAGCAAGGCAGAGCAAGGAATGTTGCACATGGGTCCCTGCTAAAAGAGCTAAACAAATCTAGCGAGAGCCAGGTGAGCCCATGTCGTGCATGAGCGGGTTCTGGAGTTAAGCACCGTGCACAAATTCCGAACCATCACCCACACCTCTCAACACCATAACTCTGCACAGCTCAAGAAGTCCTGTTCAAATCTGGTGGAGATACCTTCCTGGAAATTCCGCCGCTCTTGTACCCGTTCATGCACTCCGGACTGTTCTTTGAGGGAACAGCAACAGCCGGTCTTGCAGAGGCTGCATGGCGGCTTGATCTGCTCTATTCAGAAATGCTAGAGTCACCTCTGGACAAAATTCCCTGTCTTTGCACGATCTCTTTTTTGGTTACGGTTACCTCCAAAGCTGCACAGTTATGGGGCTGTCGGGCGACCCCATTTTAAGGCCCGCAGAACACAAGCAATTCTGGCTTCGCCAGGTCGGCCCTCCACAGTTGCATTCCGTTGGCTGCAGCACTATTAAGGGCGAGCACACAGCTGCCTTGGACAAGTTCCGACCTTCCAAACGGTCCTCCACCAGACGCTCCCCAAAGTCATTACAATCAATGACATGCGCAGCTGACGAGATTCAGCCGCTGTGGGTGCAGGAATCAAACTTGCGACCCCAAAAATGGCGCCGTCTCGCGGCCCCAAAAAAGGGCCGCGAAATGCAGCCAAGCTCCTTTAACATATTTTGACTGGCAACCAGAGAACCCCAAAATTGGGGCCGCTTGGCGGCCCCTGTTTTGGGGTCGTGAATTTCTTCATTCTGGAGCCTAAGTCCAAGCCCGTGTGTTCCAGACTGCTACATCAAGGTGACCCGAGGGGGGCCACTCAAGCGAAGCCAAAATTGCTTAGATTATTCGACCCCACATTTGGAGCCGCGTGTGCTGCAGTTGGTCCGCACCCAAAGTGGGCATCGGCGGCACCGGAAGCTGAACAGGCGTTCCAGACGCAGCAGCTGGAACACTTCCATCGCTTGCACTGAGGCACTTGCAGGTGCAATCTGGGCTGCTGGCTGAGCTGTAAGGCAGTCTGGGCTGCTTGCTGAGCTGTGGCGAACCAACAGGACCAACAGAGCCAAAAGCAGAGTCGCAACTCAGCGTCCTGGGCTGCAACTGGCATTCAGCTGTTTGTCTCCAAGCAAAACACTTCCAAGCAAAACGAAACGAAACGAGTGCAGTCATTGACCCAACTCAACAGCTCCTCGCAGCTTCAGACATGCCAACACATCAGAACATCCAAGATTACTTGTACCCTGGAGGCGTATTTAAACACTATATCGCCCGAAGGGCTAAAAGTTCGGAGCTTCGCAGGTTTGGGGTTTAGGGTGTCGAGGAAGGAAAGCAAGAATGCGCAACGTCATGTATTGGATCGCACAGCCCATATCAGTCATGCACATGAAACTTTCTGGAGACGATGCCGAAAGCATCAATCCCCCGTATGTATGGGCTGTTTTGAACAGTCCTGAAAAGAAAACTAAAAGGGCGGGTAGGGTGGGTAACTAAAATTTCTAAGATCCCCTCCCGATTGGTCCGCAATGTATCGGATGCAGAGATCGGATTCCGCAAAAGCTCTCCAGAGATGGTTTGAAAAGACAAAGATAAAACTGAAAACGGTTCATGGCCAAAGAAAATGGCCATCTGAAAATGCCCTAAAACTGACATGCCTAAAAAGACTGAAAAACATGCAAGCACTGACATGTCTGACATGACTGAACATAAGTGCAACTGACAAAGCTGAAGACTGCATGACAACATGGCTGTGGACCGAGGCCACCGTGGCCGGGCGTACATCTGAGTTATTTTCCAACGAAACTTCCGTTAGCGCGCGTTTGGGAAACCCTAACTGCGCTGCAGAGGAACCCTGTGCAAAGCACTCTCTCTTTTTCTCCTAGCGGACATGGGGGGTCAGTTCGGGCCCGATCTTCGGGCACTGAAGAAACGATGCCACTGGCATCTTGACGGAAAAATTCGACCGCTGGTCGGTGGTAAGGCGAACGACTGGTTCACCCCCCCCTACAAGGGACTAACCCGTACAACGGGACAATAAGGTGAGACATTCGCTGACCTACTGGGTCACTGCAGCTACCAGTTGCTACTCTGTAATCATGACGGCCTACGGCCTATGTACAAGAGCGCACTCTGTGCTGACGCCTCTCTGCTAGAGAGAACATAGGAGCGCTGCTCCTGGCAGCTTTGCTGCCTATGTGGTGTCCCAGACCCCGCATACTATACAGGGTGTGGTGGGTGGGATAAAAACTTTTGGATCACATGATCCAACTTCAAACCGAAAGCTGCACGGCAAAGTTTGTCTAGTGTAACTCACACACACAAGTGAAAACACTGTTTTTTTTCGATAAACTTTGTCTACACTTTCGGGGGAAAATAAAACCCATTCACGCACGCATGAGAGTCTTCCACTCGCAGGCTCCGGGATAGACACTGTTCTGGACGGTCCGTGCACGACTCGTTGCAATGGTGAGAGGAACTTGCTCTGGTCCATCTCCAAGGACGTCGCCGACGCAAGATCACTGCCATGCGGGTGTTGCAGCTCCAGTCTGCTGCTCCGCGAAGATGAGCCGCCGCGCAGACTCTGCGCTTCCAAGGCTGACATGTTCCCGCGTGTGAGGGCCCGGGTCGGCTTGTTGCTGACGGAAATCTCTCCGATGTGCTGCTTGGACAAGTCGACTCGCACGTCCAGCACGTCGAAGACTTCGCTGAAGTCGGCGTTCTTCTCGGACTCTGTGGCAACTTGCCAGTCCAGCTTGTTAAGAGGTTGGTCACTGCCAAGGTGACGAGCTTTGCGTGCGCGCTGCGCGTGAGAACCGTGACGAGTCCCAGTCAAGCCAAAAAAAACATCCATCCTCGAAAGCTTGCCATCAGGCGGTCAGCAATGGCAATCTGGAGACGGCCCATCAAGGTAGCTGGAACCTTGCATGTGACTCGCACCTCAATGTGCTGGCCGTCACGGGTTGGAGTAACGTTAGTAAGCTGCAGAAGTGGAGCGGCCGTAGAGTCGTCAGCTAGCGCTGTCCTGAACCATCATAAAGTTGGCAGGACTTTCTTGAGTTGACTGACGAGGGCCTGCGACTGAGTAAGGCGGCAATAACAGCCATGGCTGATGCAAAGACAGCGGAATCAATAATGCAAGCAGCAGTGTCAAAGCAGCTGCGCTTGCCCCTAAACTTGCGATTGCTGCCGTTGGAGGAATGCGTCCGGTCTTATCGACCAAAAATCTTCTTGTCGCCGTCTTGGAAGAGACTTGCAGTCTCAACAACACTACTTCGGTACTGTCTGTCC